CAGGGGTTCAGGTTGTGCTGATGAACACTACCAACCAACATTTGTGAGTATGAAGTTTGGGGAGAAGAATTCTAACAGAAGTTTGACTTGGGTTGACTGGTCGAGAGGTGGGATCCACCCGGCTACACATACGAGAACACATGTGACCGTGAAGTTCCTGAAGAAGATGAGAAGTGAGAGCAAGTGTGAGTACAATAGAAATACAACTAGGGTTTGCTTCTTGTTTGCAAGGAAATTCTCCAGTTATGCATTGGATAGATTGTTGAGGTTTGCACCAAAGGTTATGCAGTTCAACAATTAAGCCTATATAAATGTACAGGCCATCAATTCGTTTTCCATATCATAGCCTGTCTCGTGTTCGTATTTGTGTGGTTCATGGATAGCAAGCTTTGTTAAAAAGCAGATCTTAAACGACAGATGTAACAATATTGGAAAAGTCAAAGCCCACAAACAACTGGGTTGGGGATTATGGGGCTTGTGAGTCCAGTAGGCCCATTACAGCTGTCAAACGTACCCAAGACGGAAAAAATTGGATGGACTTTAATTGTGAATGAAGGAGGGACAAGTTTACCTTTTTGGGTCAAGGTCAATACGGCAGACTTGGATTGGGTCCATTCTATAATAGGACAATGGAACCTTCTGTTATGCCATGTGATTTGTGATCAATTGTGACGAGCAAAAATGATGGTTCGCGTGCTATCTATTGCAATTGCGGTGTAATAAAGTCAGTCTAAAGTCTAAAATCATAGTTCGCCTGTTATTTATTGCCGTTGCCATGTAATAGGTTCAGATTATGTCAGTCTAAAGATACCATAGTTCCCGTATTATCTAGTTATTACAGTTGTAATGAGTTTAGATAAAATCAGTCTAAAGTCTAAACTGGTCAATATCATGACAAAAATCAAAGCCATCAAAATGGACCAAAACTGGAGCACTTTCACATTGGTGCATATGCATCTTTTTAATTTACAATGTAGTAAGCAAAAAAAAATGGAAATAAGAATGCAAAAAAAAAAAAATGCTTTTTTCACGATAATTCAATTATCTTTCTTTCTTTTTTCTCTTTTAAATGACATAGAATAGAGATGATAGGAATATTAACAATAATTTGATTCATGGTAAGTAATGTAGCATGCTGATGCATTTAACGAACTCATAATTGTTTTTTTTGCAAACTCAGTTAGATGTATTAATAAATAAATGAAGAATACAGGTTTTATAGTATCCTTTTTGATCGCTAGATTCTATTCATGGTAAGTTTTTTGGATTGTTACACGTTAATATATTAATATTGGGACAAGTGTAGAAAACACACTTAAAATATACTCTCTGTGGCACTTTTATCTCTATTTAAAAAAGTGGGCAAAAAATACCCCTAATCTTTTCATATTATGCAAAAATACTATCTCTGGCATAAATTAGTATTGTAATACCCGTTTTGCCCTTTTACTCTTCTAAAAATGCTCAAGGATATGCTACTAATCTCATACTATATGGGTGTTATGTGTACATTACCTTTTTTTTTTTTTTTTTGAAACTTTTTTCTCTATATATATCTCTAAAGATTTTTTTTTAAAAAAACTTTGATAATTTATAAAATAAGGATTTGAATTTTTTGAGGTCCTTTGGAAGTCACAAAGAGTGTTTTACTAAGTAAAAATTTTGAATCTTTGAATGAAAGTGCTTGTTTTTTTCTTTATTTTTAGTACCAACACTATCAAACAAAAAAATATTAAAAATATATATATTTCCCAGTATCAGTGTGCATTAGTTTTCAGAGTTTGGAAAAAATTTGTTTTCTTTAGTTTGCACTATATTTTTGTTTTTTTTTTTTCTTTTTCTATTTTTATCTTTACTTTTCTTTAATACTTTTAATTTTTATATATATATATATATATATATATTTTTATCTTCAGCGTCCCCCAATAATGTCATTTTCGGTCATTTTATAAAATTATTTATTTTTATATATTTTATAAAATGGTTCAGTAAGGGTAATTTAATCAATTTAAGGTTTAAATTTGTCAGAGGGACTTATTTGCACCATATTGAAATTTTAGGGGTATTTTTTTGCACGAGAGGGACATCCTCCAATAGTATCCTTTTTGGTCATTTTACAATATTTTTTTTATATATTTTATAAAATGTTTCAGTAGGGGTAATTTAGTCAATTTAAGGTTTAAATTTGGTAGAAGGACCTATTTGTACCAAATTAAAACTTTATGGGTATTTTTTGTACGTGAAGGGTGTGATATGCACCATAAGCATACTTTAGGGATTTTTTCTGCACTTGACCTTGTAATATTTATTACGCCAGCAATTATATATAATATATTAAGCTGAGTAACAAAATAACTAATACAGTTCATCTCTTAGGATTGAAGTTGGGGGTCTAGGACAGATTTTTACAGCCATATATATACTATTGTTAAATTGGGAAGTAAATTTTGTTTCTTTAAAGCTAGACACTATTAGTTTGAGCATTTTATATATATATATATATATATATATATATATATATATATATATATATATATTGTAAATTTGATGTGTCATAACAATTTACACAAAAAATTTGGATTATTTATTTTTAGGTCCAACGGTTGTTTTATACTTTTTGTGTAAAAATATATCCTTCAATAACAACCAACCAGTATCATGTCTGGACTTGCATAATTTTTATAAACTTACTTAATATAGAGTTGATTAGTTAATGGAATAAGTAAGAGGGAGGAGAAATGAAATATACTGATGTGTCTATATAAAAAGGTTGTGTAAAATATACAATAATTTTACATATTGATGACGTAGCAATGTATCATAATTAATAGACATACTATTGGAAATTAAAATTAAAAATAAAAAATTTACATAAAATATGGTAACTTGTACACCTTGTGTGTGTAATTTTTATGGATATTCAAAATTTTTAAGACTTGTTGGCTATTAAGTAAAGGAACAAGTGAACTATATTCAGCTTGTTGAAAGATTGGATATTCAGAATTTTTTTTACAACTTAAGATTAAGACCAGGAACACTAAATTAATACACATCACACCTAATTGAATTATCAGATCGGGGATCTATATGTATGCTGAGTAAAGTTCTTACTTCTTACTTCTTAGGATCGGGATTATATGTAGGATCGATGATAGTAAAATTCATAAAATTATTAGGAAATAACTTTCTAAATAATCAAATGGGACATTCTAACAAAATCAATTCACGTTAAAAGATATTAAGACATATGACAAATATTTAAAATCAATTTCTTGATTTCAAAAAAAAAAAAAATACATCATCATAACAATCGAGCACAATCTCATAAAAGAAAGTAAAGTAAAGCCTAAACAAATAGAAAAAAGGAACAGAAAAGTAAAGAGAGAAAAACATAATTTAGTTGCCTAATTGTGTGAGAAATTTAATTTGCAAAGTTTACTTTTTTATTAGAAATAGAAGCAAAATAAATATAAAATAACAAAATAATAATATATGAACTCTGTCTTTGTTTTTGTTTTAGAAGGAATAAAAAATAGGTGAAAAAATAGAATGCTTTCTATAAGTTGTACTTAAAAAATAATAAATAAAACAAAATAGAGGAATTTTTTAAAAAAATTTGAACTATTTTTTGGAAATTCATAGGTGGATTGCCTTTACATTTGACATTGTGTATCCGGTTATTGTTATTGTTATTGTTATTATTATTATTATTATTATTATTATTATTATTATTATTACTTTTATAATTAGGCTAAAGAAATAAACTTTATATTTAAAAATGATTGAGATTAACTTTATATTTAAAAGGGTTTAATTCAGTTAGACTCCCTGTGGTTTGTCTAATATTCAAAAAGACCCCCTTACATTTACAAAAATTCAGTCTGACGCCCTATCAGACATTGTCGGCTGACAAAAATTAATAAATGAATGTAATGACTAATTTACCATTTTGTCATTTTTTTATATACACTAGACGAAACAATGTGTTTTATAACTCCAACAAAGGATAGCTTTATCCGCTGAACCAAACAGGTAGTCAATGCTAATCCTCTTTCATCCCTTATAACTTACACTAGGAGAGAAAACGCCGGCACTTTCAGAGGTCTTGTTTCTACCTCCGCCGCCGATCACCACCACCTCCTATGGAGGACCCTAATGAATCAATGACCTCCTTATTCACTACCTCTTTGATTCTAGAGTTGAACTTTGAGCATCCTTCTTCACTACAATTTAGAGCTTGATTAAGATAGTATTCCCTCCTTATTCTTCACTAATAATTTTAGGATTGATTGGAATTTTGATTTGATTTATTTCTTTATTGTTATGGATGGATTATTAGGCTTTGTATAGAAGAATAACTCTTTTTAGAAGATCTGTCTTATTGAAAAATTGAGGGTAATTTTGTAAATTTGGATTGGTCAATGAGGTTAAAAATGTCATTTCAAGTATTGTAAGGGCAAAATTAACCTTATACCAATTTGTTCATGCTGACACCGTCAGTTACTTAACGACATGGGGTAATTTGCTACATAAACCAAAATCTCAAGGAAGGTAGGTGGAATTATGAAACGTAGAGGGGGTGTGTGTGGAATTTTGGCAAACATCAAGGGGTGTAGGTAGAATTAACCCTTTTTATTATTATTATTATTATAGGAGAGTCAATTCTTTTTCTTTTTCTTTTCTTTTCTTTTCTTTTCTTTTTTTTTTTTTTTTTTTTTTTTTTTCACATAGGTGAGTTAATTCAATAATTCAATAATTCAACAATCGTAATAGTTGGGATGAGTGAGTATATGAATTTCTACATGAATTTTCTCCTGTTTGCATATGAAGTCTACAAATATAAATTGAAAAAATCTGCGCATCTCCGAAGTTTCCCAATCAAGAGACTCCTTGGCTTGAGAGGACTTTTGTTGGTAATATTTGAAGCTGAGTTGAATTAAGAGTCCTACATATATATAGATATATATATGTAAAGTCCGAGTACTGGCCGGCCTCAAAAACATTGAAGACTTATAAAAAATTTCGAGCACTGGCCTCAGATATGAAGGTCTTCAATGCACCATTCCAGTTAGCTATCCTCCTTTCTTATTGCACCATCTTTGCTTTTGGCCTCACCTTTGGCGTCATACTTAGTTTCCATCTCAGAAACTTCTCACTCAATCTCCATGTCACCCAATTATCTGTCTCTACTTCCCAATCAGAACCGCTGCATCTGCGGCCGCCGCCGCCGCCACCACCATCCATCCCGGAAACCACCGGAGGTTCCAACAAAAGTACTCAGATTGGAGTGAGAGAATATTTAAAGCCGCCTCTTGTCATGCACTACATGGAGGATGATGAGTTGCTATGGAGAGCCTCAATGACTCCTAGAATTCAAGAATATCCGTTCAAGAGAGTTCCAAAGGTTGCCTTCATGTTCTTGACAAGGGGACCTGTGTTATTAGCGCCGTTGTGGGAGAAGTTCTTCAAAGGGCATGAAGGTCTCTACTCAATCTACATCCACTCCGATCCATCTTTCAATGAATCAGAGCCTCAAAATTCAGTATTCCGTGGTCGGAGAATTCCGAGTAAGGTCAGCTACATATAATACATGTTTTTGGTGCATATATCTGCATATATATATAGTTTCATAACATCTTTCTCACGACAATATGATGTAGATATACACACGTGCATATATTGCTATAGTTATATACATAGAACCATGTAAATTAAGAGTATATATTAACCATGTAGACAGAACATTTTTTTTGTTATGATGAACTATATCTCGTACAATTCTACTATATAATGTAGGGAATCGAATGGGGAAAGGTGAACATGATAGAAGCGGAGCGTCGCCTGCTAGCTAATGGTCTTCTTGACATCTCAAACCAACGATTTGTTCTTCTCTCCGAATCATGCATTCCTCTTTTCAACTTCACCACCATTTACTCTTACCTCATCAACTCCACCAAAAACTTTGTAGAGGCCAAAGACAAACCAGGACCAGCTAGTCGTGGGCGATATAAATATCAAATGAATCCACACATCAGAATTGAACAATGGAGAAAAGGGTCACAATGGTTCGAGATGGATCGAGACCTCGCCATAGAGGTCATCTTTGATAAGAAATATTTTCCGTTATTTCAAAACTATTACAGGGGCTCATGTTGTGCTGATGAACACTACCTACCAACATTTGTGAGTATGAAGTTTGGGGAGAAGAATTCAAACAGAAGCTTGACTTGGGTTGACTGGTCGAGAGGTGGGATCCACCCGGCTACACATATGAGAGCACATGTGACCATGGAGTTCTTGGAGAAGATGAGGAGTGAGAACAAGTGCGAGTACAACGGGAATACAACTAGGGTTTGCTTCTTGTTTGCAAGGAAATTCTCCACTCATGCATTGGATAGATTGTTAAGGTTTGCACCAAAGGTTATGCAGTTCAACAATTAAGCCTATAAATCATAAATATATGGCCCATCAATTCGTTTTTAATATGGTATTCCTGTCTTGTATTCGTATTCGTATTCGTATTCGTGGATAGCAAGCTTTATTAAGGGCCTGTTTGGAAGGTGTTGTATTTTGTTTTAGCCTAAAACAGAACAAGTATTTTGTAATGTGGTGTTCTGAAATGAGAACAAAACATGTTTGGCGACGAAAATTTGCGGTGAGAATTTTGGAACTGAAACATGGTAGCACATATTTGACAAGGTATTTCGTTTCAAGAAATATGAAAACAAAACATGTTTGGGAGAGTGAAAGTGTAACCAAAATCAGTAAAACTAAAACATGAAATATGTTTGGTAAAGAGTGTTTTTAAATAATGTTTTTATTAATACATTACTTATAACTTTATTAAATATAAATTAAAAATTAATTATTGTATAATTTTAGTATACAATTGTGTAATGCTTTATATAGATTAATTGTTACCAAACAAATTTAAAATTACTACTATATTTATAAAATTTGAAAGATAATGTATCATAAAAAAATATACATGAATTTTATTTTTAACTTACATTCTTAAAAATTCATATTTTGATTCAATTGAAGAAAGAGCAAAGCTATGCAAAATCGTGTTTTGTTCGTGTAATACCCCTAAAATTAAAAAGGATATAATTGGGATTTTACTATTTATTTTAAGTGTTTTATGTGTTTATGTGGATATGTGTTTAGGCTTAATTGATTAAATTATTTGTTCGTTCTTTATTTTATTTAATTGTTTAGTCTTTAATTGTCATTTGGGTTGTTTTTGAATTGTTTTGTTGGTTAATTATTTTATGTAATTTAATTGGGGTTTTAATTGATTGAATAATTGGTTTTTATTTATTTATTTTATTTAATTAAATAGGTTAATTTATTAGGGTTTTGTCTCTTTACCATCACGTTTGATTAAAGCCGCCTTAGAGATGTAAGGAATTGTTGATTTCCGTCTCTACGATTAAAGTAGAGTTAGGGTTAATATCTTTTCCTAAGCCTATAAATAAAACAATAAGGGTCTGCTTAGGGTTGTAAGCACAAACCTTATTCACGAATAGTGAAAATACAGAGAGTGAAACAGAGAATTTATGGGAAAAACTAAAGGAGAGGAAGGTAGGGTTTGAGCGAAGGATTGTAAGCCGAACTAAGGAGGAAGCTTGAGAGCTATTTGAGGGTTAGAACCGGAGCAGAGGAATCCTTGACGGCGGTCACGATCGCCGGAAAGTTTAGGAAGAAGACGACGTTGAAATGTTTCAATTCGAAACGGAAAGGCAAGTTCTTCTACTTTCTTCTTCCCTTTGGCTCGTGTTCTGTGCACCTAGATAATCTCTAGGGTTTAATCAATCAGTAACTAGAATTTACATGTTCAATATATGTTATATTAATGATCTGGTTGTGTTGAAATCAAAACTGTTACAATTTCTACATGTCTCGTTTCAATTTTCAGTTCTTTAAGCATGTTGCTCTGTTGTAACTTTAGACTTTGTAATTTATTTCATCTACTGCAAACGAACCATGGGGATGTCATAAGGATTTATATAGGATCCTTAGGTTCAGTGGTGAAGAGGAACAGAGGGTTTGGAAGAGAACTGAAATTTCTTAAATTAGTTTCAGTGTTGTTCTTCAAACATATTGGTTTAATGGCTTTGTTTGATCTCTGTAATTGATTTCAAATTATTGTTCTAAAACCATTGGGAGTCTGTTTTGGTATTAATAAGACCTTAGGATAAGTTTTTGAAACCAACTGAATGGCAGAAACATGCCGGAGAAGAAGCAGAAAGTCAGAACGAAGCAGAACGGGGACAGGGGCTCTCAAAGGAGGTGAGAGCCGGCTCCATGGATGTGGGAGCCGGCTCCCATACTCATTGAGCCAGCTCTACATTCTTAGAGTCGGCTCCAGCCTCAAAAAAAAAGTGCCTGCTCTTGGAATTTAGAGCAGGCTCTTCCAAATAGTAATTTTCTGAAAAAAAAATTCTACAAACTGTTTAGATACTGTTAGAGCATGGGAACATTTCTATTGACTCTGAGGTTTTACAGAGGGATTAGAAGGTTGGATGTGAGTGTTATTAAGTCCTCAAATTGAGTAAGGTTGACCTCTAAGTGAATGAAATTAACAGTGCGCTAATTTAACAACTGTGCGTACGGTTAACGGCTGAAAGGAGATTTGTTGTCTAGTTTTAATTTGACAACTTAGGGTGTTATATAATGATTCTAAATTAAGATTAAAAGCACAGTGAAGTCTTTTAAATTAATAAATTGGACTTGGGGCATAGGGCATGGCTCTGTGCTAAAAGATAAGACAGAATACAAGTACACAACTTAGTACGCTGTTACCGGATGAAAGGAATTAAATTGCTTAAATTAATGTAGCGATTTATTGGACTATAATATGATTATAGAATTTATTTTAACGTTTGATAGAGTCATTGATATTAGATTTGATCTATGTATGCTTTGGATGGTAGTTGCCTAATTATTAATTGTTTCCTACAACTATATGGTTTAACTCTTGGATTTAAATTGCTGAAACTATAAATAGTCTTCTGTAATTATTTGGGATGGTTTGGATTGTAAATTGCTATACTGTTATTTATAGGTTGTAATTTACATGGTTTGGATGTTAATTGTGGGATCTAGATATTATCATACAAGTAATTGGATTATGGTTTTGAACTGTAATTGCTGTAGTGTTGTATAAACTATTCTGCAATTACCTGGCTTTTGGTTTTAGTTATTAAATTGCTGTACTATTATTGATAGTCTGTAATTTTTACATGGTTTTGGATTTAAATTGCTGAATAAATATATTCTGTCAATTACATGGATATGAAGGATTGTATGCACCGGTATGAGACAGTGACATACTAGGGGACGGTTTAGCTCAAAACGCCTAAACCTAACCTAATGGATTAAAGTAATGGATTTAAAAATATTGAATCCTAATTGTGTTAAGTCAAATCAACTGCAACTAAGTTGAGTGGCTTCCTGGATTAATGGATGATAGTTAAGTCACATCAACTGAATAAGTTGATAGACTAACTAGCTTATTTATTGTATGTCAGTTCAATAAATATTTGAACTACATACCCTGGTTTTGGACGGACTTTATATATATGTTTATGGTACCACGAGATGAGCTTGAGCCTCAGACTCGTTGGTTAGGGTGCGTATATGCAGTGGATGCTTAGCTAGCTATAGTAGGTTGAGGTGTACCCTGTTAGGTCTAGGTACTCATGCCCACCTTTGGGTGCGTTTTCGCATGTTGCCTTCTATTCAGGTTGAGATCCCTACTGTAGTCCAGTGAATGTCCCTTAGTGTGGATATGTATATATGTGTGGACTAGATAGCTATTGTTGAGATATCTAGGGTGTATCTGCGTATCGAGTCACCGTTTAGATTGTAGTTAGAGAAGAATTTGCATATGATTTTTACGGGTGTTTGTTAGTTCCAAACTTGGAGCTGGATCGTGCTGAGCAGATACAGTTATTCACTCCACCGATGACCAGGGTTTTATTTCATATTTTAGACTTGGGTTTCGTTTCCAATCTTTTGAGTTCAGTGAGGTATTTTAGGGGTCCACTGGATGGATTCCCGAGTTGTAATAGAAATGGAGAAGTTGGATGTATCAAAATCATTCTTTGTTAATTAAATTTTATTCTGAGGTTTTTGGATTATTATTCTAGTTTCTTTTCAGCTATTTATTTATTTTTATTTTCTTATTTGTATTCTGTGTTCGATTATTGCTAATTGATTTGATATCCTCGGGTAATCGGGCGTGGGCCTGGCCAACCCGCATCCGGGAATCCGGGGGTATCACAGTTGGTATTAGAGCACTCCAGGTTCTAGTATCCTTAGGAGTGTTTTCGTTATAGGACTTCCGCGTTGCGTCTCTTAAAAACTTAGAGCCATATTAGGATTCGTTGTACTCTTGTTACGGTTCGATAGGAGGAGCTGATGTCAATTATATTCCATAGTTATGGAATGGTTGACACTAGGAGGAGGATCGGGTTCAGGGCGAAAGCGATATGGACCCAACGGAGTAAATGAGGATGTTGTCAAGTTCTTTATCAGAAACAGAACTTAGGGATCAAAGATTTAGTCATAAGGTTGGCATTACTTAGACAGTATACGCCAAGACTGGATTAAGATGTCAGTGTTAGGTCTGTATATTAGGGCCAACACAAATTTCAGATATTCTCAGAAAGGAGACAGACGAATAGTAGGATTCTGAAAAGGGTCCTACAGGAGGAAATTTCAGTGTCTCCAAGAAAGGGGATATTAAAGCTTGAAGATGAAGGATCGCACGGAGGTGATCTCATTCATCAGCAGTATGGTGAATGATACTAGTAGAATTGGTATAGATCAATATACATGTAGATAATTTTTGCCATCTCTCAGAGAGTCAATTGAAACAGTACTCTTTAGGCAGTTGGAAATCGGATAGAGTTCTTATTAGAACAAAGACATGATTTTATATCACATTCTGGAGCGAATGGGGATTAGGTTGTGACGTTCTATGGTACGTTGTAAAACCACGATAGACGGTTTACATTCCGCGTATAAGGAGGATAAGGGGTAAGCCTTTGGTATTTGCTTAGGCAAAAGAATGTTGCTTTTAAGCTATGGTTATAGACAGGTTTCAAGGTTGGATGATTACCAACGAAACTACGAAATGAACTTTTGCGACATAATTTGTGAACTTGAGTTCAAATGAGGTTTTCTTCTCTGGAATGGAGGATGTTTTAATTAGAAATTATATTTTGGTTGTTTTGTTGCATTGTGTGTATCTATGTGTTTGATTTTGTTATTTTGTGTTGCATTTTACTACTATGTGTTTCATTTTGTTGTTACATGTTTTATTTTTGTTAATTTGTCCGGATTGGGAGTATGGAGTGGTTGGGGACACAAGTATGTGATCAACCAATTATTATTTTTGATGACGTGGATAATAGCGCTATGTACGCTTGGATTTGTAAATAAATGGTCATATGATTGGGTAGAAACACAAACTCCTAGCCAATCTAATGGATCTGGATATGCATCAATATGGTATGCTAGTTAGGATGTGATAGTTAAACTATCAAAACGAATCAAATAATCAAAAAGGGTTAGTTTGATATGCTCAATGCTAGGTGGGGATTCATTTTTACAACGCTATAATAATGG